GCGGAGTACTGTTTAGTCCTTTTTTCGGTCTATGGTCGTCCTGAAGTTTCTTTTCCTTTTCGGGACTCTATTTCGTTTTAGGTTTATTTTATTTTATTTTATTTATGTCAATTTCAGCCTCTACTATTTATGACCAAAGTTATTTCACACTAGGAAAACTGGAATGTGACACCATTGGCATCTTGCATTTATTACCCCGTCATGCTTTCTTAGTTCCAAGATTGGGTCGTGGTCCACACCCATGGGAACATTCCGTAAGGGATAGCTCATGGTCCTTGCATTATCGTGCTATGCATCTTGCGTACGGAGTTGTTCGGACTCTATATTGCGTAGTCAGTACGGAGTAGGCTTTGGCTTGTTTTCTCATTTTCTAATTACGACCCAGATACTCGGTTGCGCCAAAACGTACCTAGGCATATTGATTTGAAATATTGCCATGACAACTTAGGGAATTGATTGGGCCTGACAGTGGATCATAGATATGTCTTGTGTACCTCAGAATACTTTTGGTATGGAGTACATAATTTCCTTTACAACTAGACTCCGCCATGGACCGAGCTGTCGGAATACTCTGCAATAATTCACAGGCATTTGGGGAATGCCACCCAAGTTTAGAGAATTCAATAGTCGTGCTGGCACAGTTGTCAGTCGAAGTGTTATAGTTTAGACGCAAGGTATATGAAATAAAATAATTCGCAGATCAGATAGAGTAATTTCCCCGGTGCGAAATTTATACAAGCAGTTGGTAATTGCACTCCCTACACGCAAGCCCTTTGGAACCACTGCCCAAGTCTCCGTCCGAGCCAAATTGTGAGACACCTCACTCATGGCTCCAGACGAAGGCGACCAGGCGATGAGCCTCAAAGACGAGAAAGCTCCGTATCCATCCCTGAGCACATCGAGTTCTGCAGAGTTATTGGATGCAGCGCCATCAAGCGACAATGAACGAATTGACATTCTGCAGTCCGCAGAGCATGCAATGCATCGCGGATCTCCCAAAATCGACCCTCAGGTCTGGACCGATGTGACTTCCCACCTTGGCGATTCCAACACGATAGATGCCCGGAAAGGATCTATTTTGTTTGAGAAGTTGAGTGTTCATGGCAAAGGATCCTCGCTACAAATCCAACACACTGTTTTGTCGGCGCTTCTATACCCTCTTGCGTATCCCATCGAACGGCTCGTGAGGATCGTCGGTAACAAGAAAACTCACGATGACCGACGAACCATATTACATGGACTTGATGGAATCGTACGCAGCGGCGAATTGTTGCTGGTGCTGGGTCGTCCGGGGAGTGGGTGCTCAACGTTTTTGAAATCGCTATGTGGCTACCTCGAAGGCCTGGATCTCGACTCCGTCAGTGAGATACAGTGTAAGGGAGTACCATTCAGAGCGATGATGGAAAAATACCGGGGAGATGTAGTGTACAACCAAGAGGCAGATCATCACTTTCCCAACCTGACAGTCGGTCAAACACTTGAGTTCGCAGCGCATGCACGAGCACCGCACAATCGAGCAGGCAAACCGGATGGAGAGCGGTATGTCAAATCGGCTGTGAAAGTGGTTATGGAGACCTTTGGTCTCTCCCACACATACAACACGAATGTTGGCAACGACTATGTTCCAGGTGTCAGCGGAGGGGAAAGAAAGAGAGTCAGGTAAGCCTACTTTTTTTTGGCTTAGAGGCAGAGAGAAAGAAGGTTACAAGAACTGACACAGTTGGTATGAACAGTATTGCGGAAACGGTTTTGTCACGGGCTTCGGTTGTGGCCTGGGACAACAGCACACGTGGGCTTGATGCAGCCACTGCAGTCGACTTTGTTCGGGCCCTTCGAACCTCAGCCCAACTAGCGGGATCTTGCCATGCGGTCGCTGCATACCAGGCCTCAGAAGCTCTTTACAACACCTTCGATCAAGTCATCCTTCTATATGAAGGACGAGAAATATATTTTGGCTCTCGTGAAGGTGCTGTTTCATACTTTGAGACCATGGGATGGAAACGACCACCCCAACAAGTGAGCGCTGATTTCCTCACAGCTATCACTAACCCTGGCGAGCGACAACCACAAGTCGGCATGGAAAATGCAGTCCCCCGCACCTCAGTGGAGTTTGAAGCATACTGGAAGAACAGCCCGGAGCATGCAGAGCTGCAGAAATCAATCCGACTGTACAAGCATAAGAACCCTCTTGATAGCTCAGAGGAGATCAAATTGAAGGAAGTCAAGCGCCTTGAGCAATCGACCCATGCTCGATCATCTAGCCCCTATCTTCTCTCGGTGCCAATGCAGATCAGACTGTGTATCGTTAGAGCCTGGCAACGGACCCGCAATGATATCCCAGGCTTGATCGCTTCAGCAGTGGCGCAGATTGTGGTATCTCTTATCATCGGGTCTCTCTTTTATAACATCCCACAAACTACCGCTGGACTAGGACAGAGAGGATCGGTCCTCTTCCTCGCCGTTTTGACAAATGCTTTGATATCCTTGTTGGACATCAACACCCTATACAGCCAAAGACTGATCGTGGAGAAACAAGCGGCCTATGCCTTTGTGCACCCCTTTACGGAAGCCATCGCAGGAGTTATCGTGGATTTCCCAATCAAACTTTTCCGATGCGTCTTGTCTGCTATTATCGTATATTTTCTCGCAAACCTCCGGAGAGAGGCCTCTCATTTCTTTATCTACATTCTGTTTCAGCTCACAGCCGTTATGACAATGGCCACGATGTTTCGCACTTTGGCCACGGTTACCAGGACTATCGGACAAGCTATGTCCCTGGCCGGAGTCATCATTATCTGTGTCGCCGTGTACACTGGCTTCACTGTTCCCCAGTTCGATATGCCGCCATGGTTTGCATGGATCCGATGGGTCAATCCGATATTTTACGCTTTCGAGGCCATTGTCTCTAATGAGTTCCATGGTCGCCAGTTTAACTGCGTGGAATACATTCCAAGCTTAAGTTTCCACAAGGGGTCATCCTTCACCTGCTCAGATGTGGGATCCGTTCCAGGGGAGCGATATGTATCTGGAGATGCATATATCGCGGGCAACTACGATTACTCCTATGATAATTTGTGGAGAAATTACGGCATCTTAGTTGGCTTTCTTGTCTTCTTCTATGTACTTTATTTTTGGCTCACGGAGTTGATCCCAGGAACCACCCCGGCACATGAGGTCTTGATCTTCCGCCGCGGAGATGTACCCGATAAGTTGAGTAGAGGTGATCTGGAGTCCGGAGAGCAGGCTCCACCCCTTCAAGAGCTGAAATCATTGGCCCCTCCGGCCCGTTCCTCAAGGGCAGAACCAAAGGATACCCTCAGCTGGAAGGGACTTTGCTACGACATTCCAGTGAAAGGCGATGAAAAACGACTTCTGGATGATGTTAGTGGCTGGGTCAAACCTGGATCACTCACGGCGCTCATGGTATGTAACCTCTCACTTGTCTGTATCGATAACTTCCAGCTCACAACCATTGACATGAATATAGGGCGTTTCGGGTGCTGGGAAAACAACACTTATGAACGTTCTAGCGGGGCGTATGGCCGTTGGGATTGTTACAGGGGATATGTTGGTCAATGGCCACGAACCTGACGCCAGCTTTGCCCGAAAAACCGGCTATGTACAACAACAAGATCTGCATGTGGAGACCTGCACAATCCGTGAGGCTCTTCGATTTAGTGCAGCACTACGCCAACCTCAGCATGTCTCAATGGAGGAAAAATACGAATATGTTGAGGAGGTGATTCAGTTGCTGGGAATGGAGGATTTCGCGGAAGCAGTTATTGGAAATCCCGGCGACGGTTTGAACATGGAACAAAGGAAACTGCTCAGCATTGGAGTCGAACTTGCTGCCAAGCCTCAACTTTTGATCTTTCTTGATGAGCCCACCAGTGGTTTGGATTCACGAAGTTCGTGGGCTATCTGCACGTTCATGAGAAAACTGGCGGACCATGGCCAACCCGTCCTTGCTACAATCCACCAACCAAGTGCCGTTTTATTCGAGCAATTTGATCGTTTATTGTTTCTTGCCAAAGGCGGAAAGACTGTTTACTTTGGGGATATCGGTAACAAGGCTCGGACAGTTCTGGAATATCTGGAAAAGAATGGAGCTCGTCATTGTGACCCAACTGAAAATGTGAGTTCTTCGACTTTTGATATACCTGTCCCACACTGCATCGTGGATTTGAATCCTCGGAACTTGCTGATGCCATGTCTTCTAGCCCGCTGAATATATGCTCGAGGTCATCGGAGGGGGCACCCAAGGGCAGTCTACGCCCATTGACTGGGTTCACACGTGGAAAAACAGCTCTGAACACAGCAAAGTTCTTGAAGAGTTGGACAGTCTCGTCTCATCAGCATCCAACGGTATCTCTGCCGACCCCTACAAGGTCGCTGAATTTGCAATGCCTCTCGCGGTTCAATTTTACCATGTTATGAATCGCGACCTCCAACAATATTATCGCCAACCCGAATACATCTTGGCCAAGTTTGGCGCGGGTATTTTTTGCGGTCTTTTTATCGGCTTCTCCTTCTGGAGTTCCGATAATTCAAGCCAAGGCTTCCAGAACGTATTGTTTAGTCTGTTCCTTTTGTGCACAATATTCTCCACACTCGTCAACCAGTACGTCTTCGCCCTGAGATCTAGTGATATCAACTCAACATACTGACTGAAAACAGAATCATGCCGAAATTTCTGTCTCGGCGAGCGTTATACGAACTACGAGAGAGACCAGCTAAAACCTACTCCTGGAAGGTGTTCATTCTGTGTCAGATTCTCGTTGAACTACCATGGCAAACATTGCTTGGGATATGTACCTGGGCCTCATTTTACTTTTCGGTTTACGGTAGCGACCAAAGTCCCCAGCGGCAGGTGCTTGTTCTTCTGTTTACCGTACAGTTCTTCCTCTTTGCGTCAACATTTGCTCAACTTGTAATTGCTGCAGTTCCCAATCTGGTTTTGGGGAGCATGATGGCTACATTCACATTTCTCCTGTGCCTCTTGTTCAATGGCATCATGCAGCCACCTAGCTCATTGCCGCGGTTTTGGATTTTTATGAATCGAGTTTCCCCTCTCACTTATTACGTGGGCGGCATTAGTGCCACTGCATTGCATGGCCGTCCGATCCACTGCTCTAATCGAGAGCTGAGAGTCTTTGATCCCCCGCAAGGGCAGAATTGCGGTCAATATCTGGCGGAATATCTCAAAACAGCGCCAGGCACGCTCTACAACCCACTTTCTTCGGATCAGTGCCAGTATTGCCCACTTCGGGTAGCAGATCAGTATCTTGCTGGGCGGGAGATCTCCTGGGATTATCGATGGAGAAACTTTGGAATTTTTTCAGCGTATATCATCTTCAACATTATTGGCGCCATTGGACTTTATTATCTGGTTCGAGTTCGACCTTACGCAAGGAAGTATCGCGCGCAGAAATCTCCAAAATGATCTGTATCTGTGCTCAACTTTCCTTTTCACCACTCTTTCCACCTTTCTTTTCACCTTTCTTTTCACCTTTCCTTTGATTTCATTTATGTGTATCAGTCCCTTTTTGTTTCTTTTTCTCATTTTATCTCTGTGATAAATTTATATTCTGCCTCATATTGGCTAGCCTAATGGGTCTCACTTGGATGGTTAATTTACTAACGGTGAGAAAGACACCGTATTGCATTGGCACATCCCGGCTGTTTACAATGGGGCGGGCATGTCTCGGAATTTGCCGGTCTACTTCGAAGCACTCATTGATACCCCAAAGTCTATGTCTAGATGCGGAATCAGTACTGGACTAGTCGCTGATATCCACGTTATATTCCCCATATAGGATTATATATATCACAAGTCCAGGAACTAGCTATGAAGTTCCAGCTCTAGGAAAATCCGTCGGAAACTGTGTGAATACATGATTCGCTTAACTCAAATCCAAATACTGATGTGATGTATCTTTGCAGATCTTTGCATATGAGTCCATATAGTGAGGTTATTGAATCTCATACAATATAGATGTTAATAAACATCGTAGGTGGACCTGAAGACTGATTCTGGTGCCCCTTTTTCCAAGGCCTAGACTGTCAAATATTGATTATTTCGCGATCGTTATCCCTGCTAGCAGAATACTTTCTGACTAGTATTTCGTTACAAATCTGGGTGTCGTTTGCATTCCATCTTGATTACCTGCCTCTTGCCTATTACCCGTAGACGCCTATAAAGCACCCTTTATTAGTGAGATTCTCAAGATTGGCATTAACTATGAAATTGTTATGAAACGACCCGATGGACAATATACTAGTTATCTTTAGCACACATACTATCTTTCTCTGTGCCACTACCAGTATGGAGTATTTACATGATCGGGGCGTTCCCGGTATTAGGTTATTTTCAGTTACGCGATCCTGAATACGTACAAACGTATCCAATCCAACGGGACGCTCGGGGATCCTCTGATGATCCTTTCTTGGCGTTGCTCGACCGACATGGGTGGATCATCCCCGTACGTTATATATGTACGCCTGCATGTCTATGTTGCATTTTGCCAGCTATGCAAGGTTCTATTGTCCGAGGATTCTGCTGGAATATGTACCTCCCCTTTTGGGACAATGCCTACTCTGGGAAGTCGCTATTGGATGCAACGCCACCCCTAAGAGGCCAAATTCTTCAGTAGTCGCAGATCTCATGCGGTGAACATTAGCGGGGCGAGATTCGATCAGGAAAAGACGTGAGGTTTAAAATAAAATCTCCCCTTTGGAATCGTAAGCTCGTCATCAACCCCCTACTCCTGCAACATCAGAATTGCAGATTCCTCAGCCGGACCCTTTTCAGTCACGATGGACTCTCAAAATGTAGTTCTATGATCTCGTCATTGCCACTTTTGCCGTCGCCCATCTCCGGTGGGCAGGTTTATGACCATGATATTGGTATGTACTGTCTATTTAATACATCTTCAATACGCGATCTTTCCAACAGGATCTCTGGACCTACTGCGCTGAGTGATTTGTCAGAAGAAGCTGGACACCGAGATGAGGTAAGTACTAGATAATAGTGTTTCAGGGCGTAAAGAAAGACTGAATCTTTCAGAACTAATCACGCAGTAGACAGTGAAACTTGCACGATGGTCGTTGACCTGGTCGGCGACAAGTGTACATGATACAACACCTACATGTATAGACAGGGTTATGATCTAGTTACACTAGAATTTGGCTCAAGCTGAAGGTGCGCCACTGAGTACTCCGTAAAGTCAACCGAGTTTTCATGCTACAACATGAAATAGAAGCGGAGAATGCATATAATCATGACGAATGCTTATTTACCTACACCAATGAACGGGCACCCCGGTCCATAACCCTGGCTTTATAACTAGTAAAACATTGTACATTGCATATGCAGGGCTAAGCCAGCCACTGTCAAAACGTCAGCCAGCCACCAACGCCACCAACTGGCGCTAAAGCCCTACCCGAATAGTCAAATAGCCAGAAGTAAAAAACAAAAATGTAACCGGACGTATTAGTGGGCATTATATGTCAGCTGCTTGATTTGAGCGGGCACTCTATACGTGTTGTCCCGCGTAGCATACCAACCAAATATTCAGTATACGTGTCACAATGCACCGTTGACCCTTACTGGGAGGCCGGAGCTGCGCTTAGGTGGCAGATCGCCGAGCAGGCTCCATTGCATATCTTATGCAATGACTTATTATGTTTTACCGGTGCTCGTAGGTAGCATGGTGATCAATAATGCCTGTCTTTTGTACCTTTAAATTTATGGCCGAATCTGTGGTCGTCTCAAAATAATTTTTATCCCATTCCAAAAGTATTCTCACAATGGCTGTCGACAAGTTGCCATTATTGGCCAAGTTCGAGCCTGTGAGCCTGGTTGGCTTGGTCGTTCTGTCAGGTCTATTTTTCTTGTTGACAGCGTCCCCGAAATCCGATCTTCCTCTCGTGAACGGAAAGCGACCATTTGAGTTTGGAATTGCCAAAGCTCGCCAACGATACTTGAAGAATGCCCATAACCTAATTACGGCTGGTCTGGCCAAGGTACGTGATTCTGTTGTGGCCCGAATACATAACTCGAGTCACTAACGCGCAGTATAGGCTGGCGCATTTCGGATCGTGACAGAAAATGGCACTAGAACTATCTTGTCGCCTAACTATGCTGATGATATTCGAAGTCATCGTGACCTGAGCTTGAGTGCTGCTTTAGTTAAGGAGCATCACGTCAATATCGCAGGATTCGACGCAGTCAAGGTCACCGTGACCTCTGATGTCATCCAGGACACTGTGCGAACCAAGCTCACTCAAAATCTCTGTATGTCAAGGAAATTCTTCATTGGCAATAGGAGTCGCTAAAACAGGCAGTGAACATCACCGAGCCCATGTCAGAGGAAGCTACTATTTTGTTGAAAGAACAGTGGACGGACAGTACCGGCAAGTGCTTCTGGATAAGAGTCCCGTCAAATGTAACTGACCTTTTTCACTAGAGTGGCACGATGTCGCACTCCGATCCAAGACTCTAGGCATAGTTGCCCAGCTATCCTCCCGAGTATTCTTGGGTGACAAAGTTTGCCGTAATCCAGACTGGCTTCGTATCACCGTTAACTACACCATTGACTCTTTGATGGCTGCTGCCGAACTCCGACTCTGGCCTGAAATGCTGCGCCCAATTGCCGCCAGATTCTTACCCAAATGCAAGAAGATCCGCAAGCAGCTTGAGGAAGCTCGGGACATTATCCAACCTGTTATCGACGAGCGCCGACTGGCCCAGCAGGCGGCAATTAAGCAGGGAAAGCCCCAGGAGCGCTATCATGATGCAATTCAATGGCTTGCAGAGAATACCAAGGACCGCAGCTTTGAACCTGCTGCAATGCAATTGGCTCTCTCCACTGCTGCTATCCACACAACGACTGATCTGCTTAGCCAGACTATCCTTGATCTTTGCGGACGAGACGAACTTATCCGAGAACTGCGGCAAGAGATCATTTCCGTGTTCAAGGATGGTTCTTGGGATAAGAGCACGATGTACAAGCTCAAACTGATGGACAGTGTGATCAAGGAATCTCAACGAGTCAAGCCTATGGCGATCGGTAAGAAACTATCCATGTCATTTCAAAGCAGCCAAACCTAACTAATGATGGTGAATAGCGAAAATGGCACGTTGCGCCGAGGAGGACGTCAAGCTTTCCGATGGAACCATCATTCCAAAGGGTGAGATCATTCTTGTTTCCTGCAGTAAAATGTGGGACGCGAATGTGTACCCCGACCCCAACACTTTTGATCCCCATCGATTCCTCAAGCTACGCCAACAGGGCTCAGACCAAGAGAGCTTCGCTCAACTGGTTTCCCCCTCCCCAGAGCACATGGGATTCGGCTTTGGAAAGCACGCTTGTCCTGGACGGTTCTTTGCTGCCGCAGAGCTCAAGGTCGCTTTATGTCATATCATCATGAAGTACGACTTCAAGGTAGCAGACGGATGTAATCCCCAGGTGCTGAAGTCTGGAATGAGACTTGCAGCAGACCCCTTTGCCAAAATTGCTATTAGAAGAAGGCAAGAGGAGATCACTTTCTGAGCTCTTCCCAGATTCAAAATCTGATTCTCTTCACTCCGTGCCCATGTGTGCACTTGAATCCAGGCCCTTGTTTCGATAGACAGACGTATGCTCCCGCGATATCTCCATGTCTTTTGCTCCATCAATGGGCTATAGTCAGATGAATAATGGACCGGATAAAAACAGTTAGTCTAAATTAACACATTCTGTTTTGCACGTTCAGACCTTATGGAGATTGTAAATGAATGACACATAGTTTTCCCCAGAACAGACATAATCTTTTCCCAGAGATGGATTGCACTTTGATGAACTGAAGTCTGCTTCAGTATCTCCATGATGTTGCTTTCTATCCTTGGCAATTAAACATAGGAAGGGAGGATTTCGATGAAGGTATTACATCTCGACTTAGAATAACCAGTTAGCTGGCAGACAGCGACTGACAAATACGACGGACGCACCTTGATTATCCCAAAGTAGTCCACAATTTAGCATATCAACCAGGCGCCCCGGTATATACTTGGAAGGAGGCTGAACCAGCGAACTATGGGCGCCAAAAGGTCTACGCATCATCTTACATTTGGAGGAACGAGGTCAAAGTAATGCAGCAAGACGAGATGCGGTACGCAGACCATTAATTATTACCATCTAGACCAACTCAACGACTTGCTGACTATGTAAATAGTGGAGGGCGAAACCGAAACTCCGACTGGCCTTCACAAACTGATGCAACATTGACTAATTAATTAGAGGAGTCCATTACTCCTGAGCGCGCTTCCATTCTCGGTCAAGGTTGTCGCCAATTTCACGAACGGCTTCCTGCTCGAGCTCCCGGTGAGAGAGTCCGGTACGCTTCGAGACCTTGGACTTCGACTCCTCGCGAGACAGTTCCACTGTGATCAAATATTGTCAGTCATTCATCTAACATCAACAAAGGAAAGGGAGCATACCGTGCAAATACACAGCGGCTTTCTTGCCAGAGTACATCGCATGTGGCACATTGGTGCTGCCATCGCTGTTGGCATCACCAATGGCAAAGACACCTGCCTGACTGGTACGCATCGCGGTGGTAACATTGATCTTATTATTGACAATTTCCAGGCCCATCTTGGCCGGGAGCGTCGAAGTCTGTTCAGTGGGGAAGTTGACAATCAAGGCGTCGCGCTCGACGGGTTTGCCGGTAGTGAAGTGAAGGCGGAACTTGTCGAACTGCTGATCACCGTTCTCGCCCCTGTTGTTGCCGCCATCCTCGAGGCGCTCGATAGAAGAGATTGTGCGGTTGTCGATGGTAGTGTTCCAAGCGGCAAGCTGTTCTTTCCAGTCTGCAACCTTGGCGGTTGCACGGGCCTCGCCCTCCGCGGTTTGCGAGCCATTCACAAATGCAATGATATCGCTGTACAGAGTGTGGGTTTCCAACACGTTGCTCAGCATATCGGTGATATCACCGATCATTCCAAATGGCTGATCTCTATGCTCGTAGCCATCACACCATGGGCACCAGAAGATACCGTGGCCCCATCCCTCCTGCAGGCCAGGAGTCGGGGGGAGAACGTCGCGGACACCGGTACCGAGCACGATTTTACGGGCAGTGTAGTTCTTACCCTTACCGTCGGTCACCGTAAAGGCAGAGAAGTCTCCCTGTGGGAAAGGAACGATTGATTCCACGGTCTCGTTGCTGAAGTGAGCAGTTGGATACTTCGAGATCTGTTCGCGAGCTAGACCTCTGAAAGTAGCGGGCGGGGTACCTGACGAGGATGAAATATGTTAGGCAAGAAACAGCACGTCTCGGAGCAGAGTTAGGATCCAATCTCACCATCGTTGCCAATGACATCGTGCATTTCCCGGGTCGGAGCATTGCGGTATTCCTGGCTATCAATCAAGAGAGCCGTTCGGCGGACACGAGAGACACCACTGAGTGCACTGAGACCCGCAGGACCACCGCCGACCACGATGACCTCGTAATCAGTCTTAGGCACTTCCACAGCGCCGGCACATGCCAGCAGGGAGACAAAAGCTGACGCGAATGTTGCCTTAGTGAAAACCATGATGAAGAATGTTGGCAACTACTGAGCTATCACGGAGCCGGACAAGGTCATTTATAGGCGTACAAAATGTTACCCACAGTGTCTTACAGAGTGGTGGAACCCCATGAAATTGCTCAAACAGGCGCATGCGTGTGGGGACACTAGTGGCATCTCGAGCTAAGGTGGCTAAAGCTGAAGAGATCGTCGGGATCGACAAGATTAGCAATGATTGACAGGGGTCGGGTTCCCTTGCGTAGTCGCTAATTTTAACCTGCCTCCAGAGTTTGTATGCCGAGAAGCCCCCAAACAGCAATTCGTGATGGGTAGATACCTACCTAGGTACATGTACACCGTAGGTATAGAAGGATATTGAACTAGACTCTTTCAAAAAGTAGCTTTACCAATACCTGCTGGATGAGCACTAGTGCTATCACCTGCCGACGCTAGTGTCTCAATCGAGGATATTAGTGGGCTTTACGGGGGGCGCTAGTGTGTCTGTGCAGGAGAGTAGTGCTTTCAGAGGGCTTCTGCTTCGGCACTCCCGAGACCAGCTGAATATCACATTAGGTTGCATTGCAGATGATTTCGATTGAAGCATGGAATGGGAGAAAATATGCCTGTGCTACATCACTTTGAGTGGAATGAATGCGCTGGCAGAGATCAGTTCTTGTCGGGTATGTAGTGTTGTAACATCACTAGTGTGCAGGTATATATAGTACAAAGGAAAATAATGTTACCTACTTGAGCTTGGCCACCTGGGCATTACCTAGTTATGTATGTAGGTAGGCTTACCAATTCACGCGCGACTTCAAAAATCTAAAACGCCTGTAAATCGAATGAGGTAATAAATATGTATATTAACTAGTTATTCTTCAGATGCATCTTCGTCCTGGTAGAATTCACACAGAATCGAATTGCAACGCCTTGCTTAGTGTGCAAAAGATAAAAAGCAGTCTCAAAACGAAGCCATACGAGAACTGACCGTTCCTGAACTATAGGTTAATACAATGCTTGAAGCTTTCAGCTCCACATCTTCGTGGGCTCTCAAGTACCGTGGACAATTCCTGTGGTCGGCTCTTAATCGGTCTTTGATCGGCCCTTGCATTTCACCGTCGTGAACTGAGGACAGCAGCAGGATGCAAGGATAGGATACATGCTAACAATGTCTTGTGAAGAAAGTTTCGCATGTCTCATTGTCCATCTAGCATAGCTTGTGTCACAACTGGGTGGGCCGCAGGTCGATGATAGAGCACCCGGCTTCGAGCTCCCGGGGTCGCTTCCTTCAAACACCCAAGCCATATCAATAAAAACAGCTAGGAAGACAGACGTCTCCGATTTGAGGTTCTAAAAGAGGGGACCGGAAATTCCCCGGCTCCACTGAACATGATGGTCATCCATGGCTATCATTAATAACAAGAAGCCCACCAAGCAGAATTGAAAGTACAATTTGCAAGATGTCAAGAACGACCACAAAAGCAAAACCCCCAGTCTATAAGCGCCGAGGCCAAGTTAACCCGAACGCCAGCCCATATAACGGAGTCTGCTATTGTACAAAAATATCTAGTTTTGTCATAGTAATTATACATCTTCCTGGTCATCAAGAAGCAACACCTTCAGCTTCTCCAGTTTATCTTCACAGTGCACTTCCATTTGCATCACCACATCAACGGCATCCTTTCTGGTGATAAGCAGTTGCGATACCAGCCAAAAATTATACCCATTCTTATAGAACCCCATTGACGCCCATTCGTCATTTGATACTCTATTGCGTAGTGCAACCCAGTAATCACGCCACCGGGATAGAGCAGTGCGGATGGCAATAAGGATAGAATCTTCAGCAATCGTGCTGTCATTCGTGCCAACCCCGGCACTTTTCCTCGGATTCTTGAAATGGCCCACGGGTATAAGAGAACCGAGAAGTGTCATATGAGTGTTAATAAATGAGAACAAAACTAAACGTGAAGTCAGCCGGTGCAAGGCACAAAAGAAAGCTTTGGGAACAAGAACATACTGTGAATCAAGATAAACATGTCTAAAGCAGTCAGGTCCATTGGACTAGATTCGGCTGCTTCGTCAAACAAATTCCTAAAGGCCTCCGAAAGCCTGAGGCTACGTGAAAAGCGAAAATTTGGCTCTGCGAACGGGTGCTCAGAGAAGAAAAGTGATTCATGGCAGGGCAGATCGCATTCCATTTCAGTGTGTGCTAGGCGACACGGGTAATTCTGAAAGAAAAAGAATGCGCAATCAAGCAGGGAAATAATAGAAATCGTCCTGTCAATATTAGCAATACAGACGTAAGAAGAGTGGTAGATATATGCACCTAATTCGACACTCCTTTTGGATCCACAGGTGCTCTGAAACCTGGTCATCAAGAAGGTGACGGGATTTGACAAGTTCGATTCGTCGAGCAACCTTCACAACCTCACCGAATCGATTTTCCATCGCGCGATTTCGAGACAAACGGTTTCCCGCCCAGTATTGGACAATAGTGATGATAACCCCGGCCTGAAAGTTCTGGAACCAATCCCAGTCCTTAGGTTCCTCGTCGAAGCATCGGCTGCCTGAGAACGTGGCGCCGATTTCGCTCTCTGCCGAGAACACATCGTTCGCAAAGATGAACAGCTCTGCAAAATCTAGCACTCTCTTGGCGACGTAGACCTCCCTCTGGTCGCTACTGTACATTGCGCCCATAAAGACTACCGCGGCCAAGAGCGGCAGGGGAACTGTCTCCGGATCAAACGATATATGAAGCATTGGACAGCTAGGTTGCCAGTATTTGAAATAGAGCGCAATGTATTTTCGTATTCGCGCAGTGGTCAATAGAAAGTTGAGACTCGCAGATAACTCCTGCGCTGTAGAATCAAGCGGGACCTGCCACGCTTGTGTTAATATTAGATGAATTAATGTCGTTGCGAACGGTCGTTCCGGTTGGAAGATAGGTGTATCTCCGGGCAATGCAGTAGGATGCTGCCCTGGAGGAATGGCGCACTGGTAGCTCGGTGCGCCGGTATGATAAGGATTCTCCGTGGGTTTATTTCCATCCCCAAAAGGGCCGTGGAAAAAGTCCAGGAACGTATCTTGGAAGAATTGCGGCGCGACAGGGTTAGAATCAATGAACCCAGAGCCGTATTCCGGCCGAGCGGCATTGATGTTATAAGGAAACCCTGTGCCCTCCAATTCCTCGAAGCCATTTGTATTATGATAGTTGAGACTGCGCGTACGATCACTGCGTGGGGGAAGTCGAAAGTTTTCTGTGAAGCTATCGGTGCCACCATTAAGTAGGAACTTGATTGATCCTCGGTCGGATGATGGCTCTTCTTCGGGGATTTCGGGGTTCACCGACATTTCCGTACGGTTCGTATGGGTCTTCGATTGCGACCGAGTGGACTCAAGGCTTGTTGTACCTTCCTCGATCCCTGGGTGACTCTGACCTGCCGTTCGCTCATTGTTGCACGTCAGGTTTCTCTTCTGACAGGATCCGCAGGGGCTTTGTCCATCACACCGGAGTTTCATCGAGGTACACTGTTCGACCAAACAAAGGTCAGTACATATGGTAGGCTTTCATGTAATATAGGTGTGGACTAACCGATTGACAGGCATGTCGCCGCCTACCCCTCTGACCCGTCTCAGGAATTTCGCGATCCCCGCGCCTGGCGCAATCGGTGTAATGAACGCGCAGGTTGTCACTAAAACCCAAGTATCAGAGACCAGAGTTATGTGGTATTATAGGTGGTCTTGGCTTGTCTCACCAGCGCGCGAATGAGCTATCGCAGAATACGCAGGAATAGGGTCTCTGGCCAGAATCTGTTGAGGTTCAGTACGTGGCATGGGTAGCTGCAAGACAAGGCACACATACGGCGCAAATGGTGGCGTTTGAGGTGATCAATGCGGGTGAATGCACGCTGACAGACGTTACAGCAGAAGGGCTTGTCTGTGGGCTTCATGGTGGTGGGCCACCGGGGAGGAGGGGAATATCCGGGGTAGCAAGAGAGAAGAACGAACTTCGTGGGGGGTGCTGTATCGGTATTTCTGTGGAGTCATCAGGGAAGAGGTACCTTCTGGGCTTTGGTAGCACCAATAAATACTTAACAATATTACCGATCAAGTATGGTATGGTCAGCTCTCTGAGATCATCAAATAGGGGCTCAACAGCAAACATACTCTTCCACAAGGTTACGTTTATTTCCCCTCTGATGAAGGTCTTGAGTGAAATTACTCCGTACGCTATTTGTATTTGCATGAATCATAGTTCGCGTTGATAGTTTAAGTTGCACAGCGCCTGCAGTTATTACTGCCCATTTAGCGGCATTCATTAGACGAGGAAGATGCCTCGTCATCCTAGCTCAATATCTCATATGGCCTCCCCCTTTATCGAACGTTCATTGCTGACCTCAAGTAAAATGTTTGTCGTGTTCTGGCTCCCAAGCGAAATTGATAGCCCAGACTTCAGAGCGCAGTGATCATCTTACAGTTCAGAATAGCGTGGTTAAGTCGTCGATGCACCCTTTGAACCTCCCCGAACCGGACGTATCCGCAGGACTCACTCTCCAAGTGACTGAACAAAGCAGCGAGGGAGACATACTCCTTGTCACAACCACGCTTGTCGAGGAAAGGGTAGATCTTTTCCTTGTGGACGTGAGATAAGATGCGCATTCAGGCCGATCATTGAATTGAATCCCCTTTGACACAGGTAGCACTCCCAGCTTTGTACCATTAAAGGCGCGATTGGTAACGAATATTGAGGTTCTGTCCGTTGTTCCATTCGATCTCCCTGTCTGTGAGAAGTCCCTTAGGGTCCAGGCGGTGGACCATGTGGTGGATTGTCTCCCGGTTCCACTGGCCAGTGTTCGGGCAGCCACCATATTCAAAATGCGATGGGTGACGCCACTTGCAGTGACAAAGCAAGCGTCGCAAAATGGGCCTACGAGATCAGTGCCGCGGTGAATACGCGAGTTCAGGTGCTATTCGTAGATCAGACAGAGGCAAATTAGTCAAGACTCCACAATTCACTCAGGCGTCCTAGTTAAGGGGCTTGGAATCTCTCCAAAATTGGCTTGGTTCTCGTACCTGCCGAAGCCAGTTCTCATTCGCAAAGCTTCGATCGCATTCCGCGCAGTAGTTCGCATAGTGTCCCTCGGCCTCCATGTGCTGGTCAGCAGTTTCTTCGGTGTAGAACATTTGCGAGCAAGTCTCGCAGGGAACAGTTGGCTGCCTATGGTTCTTGGCATTCATATGCTGATTGGCGGCATCCTGGGAAGAGAAGGTGCGAATGCAAGTTTCGCATTTAAAGACGGGTGCCCAGTGGTCAAGGGCGTCCATGTGCTGCTGGCAGCTATGCTTAGTGCGAAATTGTCGAGTACTAGGTCTCACATTCGACCCAATGGTTGTACTCATCCATGTGAGCATCGCAGTCCTCTCGGTAGCGGAACTCGAAGTCATAGGTCCCACATTCGTACATCTTGACTAGAAGATGCAGAAATGGGCGACGAGAGGTGGTTATTTACAAGTAGCACAATTCTGGGAAAGGAGGTATTTGAGAAACAGGTGTAAGGTGGAAGAGGATGTGGGAGGAGGGACGAAGGCAGATAGGGATTGTTTGTCGTATGCAAACGCCCTTTAAACCATATACGCGCGGCTTGATGGTACTAGTTGCTTCTCGGGAGATCTTTCTTTTCTCATTTCTTTTTTGGTGCCCTTATTTTTACCTTTCTTTGATCTGCTTTTTGATTACTTTCTCACATATAACTTACGTCGAGCAAATAGCGCGGAGGAGTGGGTGTCCGGGAGTAGGAAAAGTTCGGAGAAACGATGAGGCAAAGCCACCTCGATGGAGGAGAAGTCGAAGTGAAATGAAAGTGAAATGAAAGTGAGGGAAGCTCTGTTTTGAAGTTGCCTTAAAAAGGCTGCGAATATATGATAAATATGAATCTCGCTGTATATAAGCTAAGGAAGTATCGTTTAGTTGATCTTATATGCCTCGATCAACTTTAGTGCATGAATTTGGACATCTATCGCCGGTCTCCATATATCCCATCTAGGACCTAGGTTTCGGCGCGAAATAAGTACTGGAGTCTCCTCGATTTGCCTTGCTTCCTTGAACTAACGATGCGCAACATTTGCGGCTAGTCACCGTCTGTAGAGTTGACCATCTCCTTATTCCATATAGGCGTAGCTATTAAGAACTATACCGATCGGCGGGTGAGTAGTGCTAGTGGGTGATGCTGGACTGAAGATGTAGTCTTGACCAAGTAACGCTTATTGGAGGTGACGCGGTGGAAAGAGGCGCGAGGAGCCTTGGGGTGGGACGTATCGCACGATGACTGTCAATCAAAAGCTAAGATATGTTGAGGCTACTGCAACCAGGGGGGATAGAAGAGACAGAATCTGTGAGCTTTCAATCTAGCCAAAGCAACCCTGTTTATAGGCTACATCTAACAAAGAAGCGCGATCTGCCGGCAAATACAGCCTGTGGAATCAGGCATTCACGGGAGATTGGGATTGCTCAACAATGCCTGTCGTCGTTCATCAATAGCGAGACGATTGATTATTTCCTCTCATTCGCTGGAGAGCCTGGAGGTCTGTCGGTGTGGCCCGAGGCTGATGTACAAAGTGTCGCATTGCTGTCTGTATCTCAGTGACTGCACCCACAGCCGGAGGTACGGGTTGCTCTCGCAGGGTGGGCACAATGGCGTCATCCATTTCCTGTAGAGTAGGCTCACCCTCAACGATTAACGGCAACATTCGATACGACCTCGAAATCCTCGTCCACGGGATGAGTGAAGTTTTCAAGGCTGGTGACCATTCGACCGTCAGGTTTGTTCCGTGCGACAGTCTTGTAAAGAGCTGTCAGATCGGGCGATTTGGGAGTAGTGATCAACTTGATCTGCGAGTCCATCAGGCTGCTCTTCCGGAAGGCTCTGTAGATAATCGCATTTGCGACATCGTGACGCCAGCTCTGGGTGGTCCAGGACGTAGTGCGATACAGACTCATCGTGTGGACTGGGTTTTGGGGCGATTCCTTACCCGCCACAATGTACGCAAGCCATTGCCTGCGATGGTAGTGTTTGAGAGAGAAATTCTTAAGTTGATCGGCTGTTGTTCATTCGAAGTGCTAGTTTGAGTAGGAAACAGTCGAACATGTACATTCGGAGACGGCGGCGTAGCCTCGACGGCAGCTTGGTGGTCTGGATGGTTGTCTAGCAGAAGCAAAACTCTGCGCTCACCTAAATGGTTGAAGAAGAGCACCCATTCTTGCATGATCGATTGCGTTGGCCAGGCCTGCCGATGATATCGCCAATGGAAGTCGATGGCTTGGGAATTGCCCTGCGAAGTGCTTCTGGCGCATGCGTATGTCCGATGACCCAAATGGGTAATCGATCTGACCCAGTGCTGTCTGTACAGAGCATGAGGCAGACGCGGGAGTTTTCCCTCTTTGTTGTCAATTGGTCCTGAGCCGGGGAAGCTTCGAGTGGAGGTTTTCGCTAGAAAAGGCCGGCCTCGTCCATATATTGTATGTAGGTTCCAAGGTCGTGGGGTCGCCAAACCTTCGTCTAATCATGTGCCAAGATTCCCGACTCACTATGACTTCGCCGTCTAACACTCTGTTTACTGACAGTCCCGTCGGCGCAATTGTGGCGCAATTGTCCCCACCAAAATGTCAAACGTTGTTGCTGCAGATCCACCTCTTTCGCCTACTCTACCTCCCGATCTATCTCTTCAGTCTGCTCTACCCGATAACCACTTTGTTCAGGTGTTTAGCTCCATGAAGCATCTCTGTGCCGCTGCAAATGAGGTCCTTGTTTCTCTTGACAAGCAAGAAAGCACAAATCAATGGCTTCTTGTTCTTGGCCTCTCCCAAACAACGATTAAACGCCTCGATGAAGATCATGATTGCCTTGACGGTATCAGCTACCGGTTTCAATGGGAGGGCACGAATGGTCTGATAAAAGTCATCCCGACATCGCATCATGAAACACTCACCCAAAGGCTCCTGCTGTCTGTGAATGATGCGCTTACTACAATGGGTCTGGACTAGGTCGATTCAGAATGGGTTGGAACGACGACCTACAAGCCCACCGCCGCCAAAGGCAAAGAGCCTGATAATGCATTTGTCCCGCCCTCTCGCTGCCCAACACCACTCCGTGCGATAGGATGGCCCACTATAGTGATTGAGACAGGATTATCTGAAAGCCTGACTCGACTTCGCGCGGTTGCGGCGAAGTGGTTTGCCGATTCAAACGGGAATGTTAGAATTGTTCTGGTGATGGCCATCAAGGCCAGTAGGGTCGACGTTGAAAAATGGCAGTTGGCTCCAGTTGGAGCGCCGGCGCCTCTTACTCGCGCCTCCATCGCCGCCCTCTGCCGCCAAAACCCCAACATGCCCCCGCTGGCTCCCCAGGTTCCTGCTACCCAGCAACCGTATCGTGCGCAGGAAATAACCATCACACAACAAGCCATTACTGGAGCTCCTCTTGTATTGCCATTTGAAGCTCTGTATGATAGAGTCCCGGGACAAGGAGAATCCGACGTCCTCATCACGGCAACAAACTTTCAGCGGATCACGCAGAGGCTGTGGTGCGCACGAGGACTACGTGTGCCTGGATGACGATGGGTTTAGCTTTGGCTTTGGCTACTTTTTCTTTGCTTTGCCTCTTTTTTATTTTTTATTTTTATTTTTTTTAGGAAATGCAGAGGTCGTGGGGGAAGAGTACGAGGGCTGCGTGCCTGGATGAGGATGGTTTAGCTTTGACTACCTTGCCTTTTCTTATTTTTTTTTTTTTAAAAAAAAAAAATATTGATAGTTGCCGTGCAGATGCTGACCCTTCTGAG